GGCAGGTAGAGAATCCTTTCGCCTCCTCCCCGTGCGATGTGATGACGATAGTGCTGACCGAAGACGAAAAAACGGCATCCATCACCGCGTCTTTTAAAAAGCAAACACGGCCTCCGAAACTTAAAATATGGCGTGCGCATTCCAATCTCGGAGGCAGGAAAAGCATCTGAAGACCAAGCTTAGCCAAGCCGACAGAAAATCCAACATGGCGGCGTTCACAATGGCTTGGGGCGTGGCACAAAACGAGCGATTTAGTCCGAAACATCGAACTTTCAGGGGCAAATTCGCCCGAAAAATCGGTCGAAACAATGCATTAGCTCTATGGGATCCCTGACGGTGCATTTATGAAGTCCGGAATATCCAACAAGTCCGAATTTTTGGAGTCCGGAAAATCGGTCGGCGACTGTAATTCACTGGGAATTGAACCCGGCACCTCCTGCTTTGAAAGCAGACGCCCTAACCATGTAGCCACCGCGGCAGTAAAACAACACAGCACACAAAAAATTTGAAATGTCTGGGCACATTCTTAGATTACTTTTATAAAAAGCCAATTAAATGTGCAAACAAATATGGACAGCTTCCCGGCACTCATCAATGTCTCAGCATTCAAGTGCAGAAAACGAAGCGGTTATATTTGTTGCAAAATAGCACAGCAATGACTGATAACAACTGCTCAACAAATGAAAGCGGAGAAAATGGAGCTCTAAGCTAAGAAAACTGAACTCTGAAGGAACTGGCTTTATTTTACATTACAGAAGCGCGGCTTTGTGGCTAGCTTGAGCTACGATCTGTCCTCTTTACGATAATGCCAATATAGTAGCACTGTGCCAAGGGAATGCTGAAAATTTGCATTTTCTAAAACCCAGTTTTCTCGTATCTTTTGACAGTCCAGCAGTAAAGTTCTCTTTTAACTTAAATTTTTTTTCTGAACATGGTCTCAGAATTGCAGAGGAAAAAAAATTGAAAAAGTGGAACATTTACACCTAATTTACCACTTCCATTGCCATGCCTCACTCAACTTTTACCGGATTATGATTGTATGTTTATTTCCTCTTGTTTCCCCCCCTTTGTTAATGTAACAAAGAGGTTCTACTGTACACTACGACAGAAGTGTTGCCCTGTCATGAATCTGTCACCAGATTGGCTGGAGCAGGGATTAAAACAGGGCTTTATTCTGTTGCCTGAACCAGGATATGAATACAGGGACTAGCAAAGACGTCCCCAATTCTGCCCAGACTGGTAGGCATGAATATGCTACCTTCCGTACACTACATCAAAATGTCACATCACAGCTGACAAGCACACAGAGAGTGAAGGAGACGAAACTGCCCATTGCCCGCGCCTACCTACAGTCGCTTTTTACAAATATGAAACTTTTGCACGTGCATGCAATTTTCGAGACAAGAATATCTGCTGTCAACATGGCTGTATAAAGAGCCATTCATCACCATCACATTGCTGGTTTCTGAAAAACCAGAAAAAGAAATCACGCTTCGCCCAGAAAAAGAACGGGTCAATTTCTGTAACATGTAAGCACCTTTTAAGAGTTCTCCGTGGATCACTCGAATAAGCACGACTTCAGAGCACGAAAGTCTGCAAGCAAGAACAAGTACCGAGGGCGTCGACATAAGCCGAAGCGCAAAGCAGCGGTAGAAGAATGCGAGACGCCGGCCACTAGGCCTAATCAAAGAAGCGGGGATACGGTGGCTTTCGGGAACTTTGACGAAATCGACGCCGCGATCAAGTTCAACAGCGCATCGGAAAAAAGATTGAACAGTTCAAGAGCGAGAGAACAAATAGTGTTGGTGGCTCTGTGAGCGGAGTATTTTGTGACATCGGCGCACTGACATCGATGGTAAGCCGTGCTGTTTCTCCAACATGCCACACCACTCGACTCCCCGTTCGCGACATCACAAATAAACGTAAGGGCCTCTCTTCGTTTCTCAAGTTGCACTGTGATAACAGTGAGTGTCCTGAGTCAGTGGTTTAAACTTAAGAACCTCTCTTTGTTTCTCAAGTTGCACTGTGATAACAGTGAGTGTCCCGAGTCAGTGGTTTCTGCCGCGCATAGTTCGTGGCGTGTTCTGCCAGAAGGACGGCCCACCGATGCCGGTGATGACTGGAGCTTGACCGCTTTGCCGTCAATGTGAAGGTAGTTAGTTGTGGCTGCGCATGCAATACGCATAGGGCATGAACATCTGTCGCGTTTTTGCGCTATTCTTGGAAAGCCAATACCTATGCATCATAAGACTTTTATTGCAATCGGCAAAAAAGTTCATGCTGCAGCTACCAAAGCTGTGAAAAAAACCTGGCGAAGGCGAGAATGATAACTAAAGAGAAAGTGGATGGGGCTGATGCTGCTGTCATGTATGATGGCACATGTCAAAAAAGAGGGCACAAGAGCCACAATGGCATCAGCACTGCTGTGTCTGTGGACACTGGTTTGTGCCTAGATTTTGAAGTGCTGTCGAATTACTGCCTCGCCTGTAGCCGGCACCAGGACTTGGGTAATGAGGAAGAAATATGGCAAGCATTCCACACACCTGTCTGCGAAAAAAATAGAGTTCTCCTCTCATGCCATGGAGGGGACTGAGGCAGCTTTGCATATATGGGGCAGGACATCCTCATACACAACACCATTGCGCTTCACAGAGTTCCTCAGTGATGTGGACAGCAAAGCTTATCCTGCTGTCGCTGAGGCCAAGGTATATGGTGAAGTTGTTGTACACAAGGAGGAGTGCACAAACCATGTGGCCAAGCATCTAGGCACTGCTCATCGGAAACTGCGAACACGACTTCCACGAGGAGAAAAGCTGACAGATGGCACAATTCAGAAGCTGCAGAACTATTACCGTATTGCAATTACAAACAACAGAGGCGATATTCTGGAAATGCATCATGCCATCTGGGCCTCGTATTTCCATTCATCATCGAGCAACACAGCAGGCAGCCACCGATACTGTCCAGAAGGGGAGACTTCCTGGTGCATGCATAGGCGAGCCGAAGCGCTTGGGGAGGCCCCACCTGACCACACACCAATCTTGACCAAGGCTCAAGGATTGGCTGTGCTTCCCATTTACAAGCGCCTCACAGATAAAAAGTTGCTGGTACGTTGTATTCAAGGGAAGACCCAAAACACTGCAGAATCTTTCAACAGCAAAATCTGGTTGTTGTGTCCGAAGGCAAAGTTTGCCACCCAGACAACAGTGGAAACTGCAGCGGCTATGGCCGTGCTGTGGTTCAATAAAGGACATTCAAGCTTTGAACACGTGCTAGAGGAGCTTGGTATAGTGCCGCCAGATCAACTGATCACCCTGGGCCAATCCCGCCACCAGAGGAGAATCGAAAGAATGCGTGTGAAACAGCCGAGGCAAGGGCTCATCGGCGGAACATGGCGAAGAAAGCACGCCTTGATGACTCCTTTCTCAAGCAGCGAAAAGGATCCACATATGGAGCAGGACAATTTTAGGTGCTCTAGCTGTGTCCCTTCTATGATCTCACTAAGTTTTGTGCAAATCGCACTGTGTACTCATGAGAAAACATATTTAGAACTTTCAAATGCATTTTTCTCGATTTCCATTTTGAGGTAATTCTCTCATCTTGTGCACAATCTTTTTTACGCATAAAATAATCCTATCTTGATGAAATTTTGCACAGAGCTTAATCAGCCACTGTAGAATACAAGTATCTACTTCAGGTTGCAATATACATCAGATTTTTTGTTACACAACTTGATACACTAATAGATGTAAAATATGCATTTAGTATGCATTTAGTACTTTTATTTTTTTTTAATGTAGAAAATAGATTTCCTACTTGAGGTACCTTTTTGTATTGTACTACTCAAGTGTGGCAGAATGAGCCATTTTGCAATTCTGTGTGAAAATTTTTAGTTAACTTTATTATGTGCACAAAAAACCCTATATTTTGATATCAAAGTTATAGTAACTTCGGAACTACTATAGCCATCAGAAAAGTAATTGCAGTTATGAAATCAGCACTGCAAGCTTTACTAACACCTAAAATTTCAAGGAGCTGGGTCATGGAATAAAAAAAAAACCTTTTTCGAGTAGCGTCTCCCCTTAATTAGTGCTCCAGTAAGAACGATACACGCACCAAGATTCATTTATTCTCGCTATATAATTTGTCGCCTTTTTGATATGGACAATTTTAAGTTTCCATTTGTGAGGACCGAGTTGTGCAGGTACATAGCAGTGTAGCTGACTTAGCCCCGTGATCACAAAACTTTGCACGCTTCATGCTGAGTATTGTCAACACCCGCACAGATGTGCCACACAAGCACCTGTAAAACAACTCTCTGCTACCTGCAGCAGCCGCCATACTTTGCCGGTATGTACGGGGCAGAAGTCCGTAAGCGCCTCTGGGATGATGTCACCAGAACTTTTGTTGCCCTTCCTATAGAGTTACGTGATGGGCCTCGATTGGGAGACTGAGCTTTAGGTACACTTGGGAAGTGACTTAAAATATATTCTTAAACCCACAAGGTGCTTTGCTATAGCCTTGAAATTTATAGGCACCACCCCATCAAGAGTGCCGGCTTGTGCACAGTTCACACACTAATTACATTTTCGATAACAGGAGAGAAAAACACATATACACCCATAATCCCATAATAAAAATCTGCTTTCAAGACCAGTGTCTCTCCTTAAATGATTGCGACAAAGAAAAGCCATGAAACGCTTTTAGGGAGCATGAAGGTGGCGCAAGGACAGCTTGGAGAAAATAGCGCCATCAACCACCCAAGATTAGTGAGGTGTAACAAAGAAGCTGTTCCCAAACAGTGTACGCGCATGCTGATTGTGAAACAGTAATGACAACTGTTTTTTCTCGCATTACCGAATTTTTCGCTAATCCTGAAAGTTTTCATAAATTTACCCCATATAATAGGTGCACCCAAAAGTTAGCTTCAATTTTTCAGAAAAAAGTGCGTTCATTACGCGAGTACATACGGTAAATGCACTCAAGGTAAGAGTACTCACAGGGGTCATTCGGTGGTGCACTTTGGTTCTGCCAGTGCTGGTAGGCATTTCCCCAACCCTGTGGTGCATATGGCTGGTTAGGAGGCGGAGGCTGTTGGCTGAAGAGAGAAAAACAGTCTTAGCACTCAATGCATGGCCGTATTTTCTATAGGTATGCCTGCACAATACTTACTATGGCTGTGGGTACTGTGTTGGGTAGTTAGGGGGGCCCTGCCCATTGGCTGCTCCTGGTGGAGGCTACAGAAAAACCACCAAAGGTTACACAGGTCGCAGCCCCTTTTGCAATCACTGTCCAAGATTACACAGAAGTCAAAGAAGGCATCTAGGCTACAGGGAGCAATTTTATGCCACACAACTTGTAGGGGTGCTGACACTGCCTGTAAAGTTGCTTGCACCGCGTGTAGCCCGTGTCTCGCCCAAAAACCGCATTTCGGGTTGCAACTACCGGGCGACAGGTGGCGTTGCGTTCATGGGCATTGATCACCACTATTATCATCTATCGTGGTTAGATCGGAAGAGCGCCAGCAGTGACCCCTGGCCGCAAGCCTTAGTGGCGGCACAAAATAATTGAGCAAGTCTCTTTCTCTGATGGCGTTTGGCACGAACGGTTGTCTCTCGCGGTGTGTCCCCAGTGCACAGCACCACGAGCCAACTGCCGGGGGCCACTGTGGCGAGTCAGGCTGTGGTGACGCCGCCTTGCGTTTGTTATGTTGTTGAGTGTTGTGTAATCATGTGTAAGGTTGTTTAGGGTGTGGATCACAGTTGATAATATAATAATTCGGCTGAAGATATCATCGTTCTTAAAATAGTTAAATGTGTGAGTCGTTTGGTTTGTTCCGACCGCATCTGCTGTGTCCGATCACTCCTAGACCGTGGTGGCGATAACCCACTTTCAGACGGCGCACTGGCACCCAACGTGGGGCTCTTGAAGCATCGGATGACAGTTTTCAGGGTTCGGTACAACCTTTCGGATGAGCCAAGGAAAGCCTAAGGGGAAACAGGTAGAGTAAGCCTGGGGGGACTTCTCATTGCTACAGCGTCGGCGGTGCGCTTTGTTGAGAGTGGGGAGATCGGTTGTTGTGACATGGCGGATTGAGTATTTTTCTTCTGCTCGCAAGTGTTTTTTATTATTTTGTGGTTGGTTTTCAAGAATGTTCAGTTGGAACGAGAGCCATGCGGTCTGCATCCTGGGGTGAGCAAAGCTTAGAGCACATGGAGTGTAGGCCAGGCCTGAAGCGAGTGAGTACGGAAGCCTCGTAGGTGGTACGATTTTCTGTAGATAGCTTTTATCACATTGGGCTCCGGGAGGCAGGCGTCATAGCTGTCTTGTATTGCGGCTCGACGCCGGGGCGCCGCGACACCGTCCGGGACGGCGGACGCCAATCGCTCGGTAAGCTGCTCTGTGCAGCGAGCGATGGGTCCACCTTACGCAGTGGATGTCTCCTTGTGACTGCCTCTCCTGCACCCAAGCTGGGTGGATGCCGGTTGTTGTCAAGCTACTCATTAGGCCTAAGGCTCTGCACAGCCGCCTGTCGCACGTGGCACGACAAGGTGGATCGAAACGCTTAGGGGCAACGCGTCAGCATCGTTCGCTGATGAGCACGTACCACGCGGTTGGGAGCTGTCAGACCGCGCTTTGAACCCCTACGCTTAACGCGCTCCGTACGTCACTCGCTGCCCCCGCACGTGACATTCACCGGCAGGAGCGTGCGGTTGACACGAGTCCCAGCAAGTGGCGCAACTCGGAGCAAAGGCTACCTAACCGAGGCGACTTACGATCAAGCCGGCGTGGTTTCCAGTCCTTGCTATCGGTGCAGCGCGCCGGGGCACACTGCACACTGGGTCGGGAGCAAACGCGCAGTTCGGGAAACGGACGGCGCCACTAGTGAACTACATCGGACACCCACCCATGCGTTCGAATCACTGCCATCCTTAGTCTGTTGCACAAGTGATGCCGTAGATTTGCCCAAACCGCTAACGAGCTAACAATAGCTCAAAAGAAGTTCGTAGCGCTTTTGGATACTGGCGTAAGCATTTCTTTATTCAGTGACGATGTGTTGCACTTGCACTATCACCACAAGAACAATATCCGCTTGAGACAAAGCAACAGCACTTTCCGCCTTGCTACGGGCACAGCACAATCGAGCGGTGCGGCTGGGCTAGAGATTCGCTGGGACAGACGCGTAAGGCATCAATGGTTCGTGCATCTTCCTCGGCTGTCAATGTCTCTGATTCCTGGGCAGAGACTTCCTCGCCAAGTGCAAATGACGGTTACCGAGAGCTCGACGGAGACGCGCTAAAGCTTTTCTCAAAGGCCTCCACACTGACAAAGGCTTGCAAATCGCGGGGAGAGGCATGTGGGAATTGACGCTAGCCCGCTGCCTTTGCGCGGGCTTTGCCGCCTCTTCTGCCGTTCTTATGTCCCGACATGACTCCCCTCCTCCGCTGTCTGCCGCGCTGGGAGACCGGAGGGACGTTTAACCCCTCTCACCCGGTAGCGGATGTCGACTGTGGCGCCGCACGCAGAGTCTCCCGAGAGGTTTTGCACGCATGCGTCGGAAAGTAGAGGGAGACCTCTCCGGGGACGACATGGGGGAAAGCACGCTTTTCAGTCTGTCAGCTCCCATTGGGGCTTGTCCGGGCTTCGTCAACAGCGCCTTCTGCTCGCGGCGAACGCTCACCTTTTGTTGCCCCTTCCGAACGCTCGGCCGAAGGACGGCACGGTGTTCTAGTGCGTGGCCAAACTACGCAGACCCGTCTCCCTCCGAAGCCAACTGCGAGCGCCTTTGCCCTCGCTCGAGCAACCGGGCCTTGGTCCCGGTGCCTCCGTGAATCAATGACCACGGAGACGTGCTTGTGGCACCCTGTGTAGTACTTTGCGCCCGTCACGTGGATAAGCCCATTTGCTTTCCCACCGCGCCTTTGCAACAGCTGTACTGCGTTTTGGTGTCGCCACAGACAATAAAGTGTTGCGACCGTGAGCAGTACTGTCTTCTCGCCATGGCGACGGTTAACGTGTGCTCTGCGGCTTGCTAAGACCGGACCCATGCTAGTAGCAGTGCTCCTTCGGCATACGCCTCACTACAGGCATGACTGATTGATTTGTGGGGTTTAACGTCCCAAAACCACCATATGATTATGAGAGATGCCGTAGTGGAGGGCTCCGGAAATTTCGACCACCTGGGGTTCTTTAACGTGCGCCCAAATCTGAGCACACGGGCCTACAACATTTCCGCCTCCATCGGAAATCCAGCCGAGTACCTTAGCCACTAGACCACCGTAGTGTGCCGCGGCGGGGCACACTACAGGCATGAGTATGCGAAAAGGAAAGTGCGCCGAGAAGAGTAACCACTCCGCCGGAACAATGTGCTGCGGTGCATAAAAGGGCAGTGCACCCACTTTTGGTAGAGGCACAGAGCCTGCCAGAAGGGGAACGAACGCAGCATTCGTCGCTGTTGTAAGAGCACGACGCGATGTCTATTGACCGCCCCGGCAGCACTACGCTGGTCAAGCACAGAATTGACACAATGCACGACCTATAAAATGCAATCCCCAACCATTCAGCTTCGGTAAGCAAAAAACACTTGACGCCGCCTTGAACAAACTCGTCAACACAGGCATAGTTGAGAGGTCAAACAGCAGATGTGGTTTACCGGAGATTCTAGTTCCAAAGAAAGATTATACTTATCGCCTTTGTATAGAATACCGCAGGCTGAATAAGGTTACAAAGAAGGACGTGTACCCTCTTCCCTCACTTTTTTCTATCTTGCGATGCATGAGTTAGGAAAAGCGATATTTATGTTATTTTTTTAGCAGGGCATGTCGGCCGCTGCCGATGTATTAGCTAGCAGTACTGACTATCATACCAAGCAGACGAGGAGCCTGATGCTCCCTTTCCTCTGCCTCACTGCATCGTTCTGCCGAGTGTTTTGAAATGTGCGCAGTTGTAATGATGTAACCCGCGGCTGCCTGTCTTCTGCCCATCGTCTTCGCTGCTGGCCAGGAATGCAGTCGTGAAATCGGGCAATGGATATGCCAGGGACCTGCACTGCAGCCCGGCTGCTGCCCGTAAGTTTTATTTGGAAAGAAGGCATAGACCGTCATGGTGTGATCCATTTTTTCTGATGCAATAAACCTCTCTCCAAATAAAGAAATGTTCAGTGATTATTTGTAATGAAGTACTTAATTATGCTAATCACAACTTCAGCACAAAAATATGTGTAATCATTTCAGTATATGGTCTTATTCAATTACAATCTTTTCTGTCATACCTATCACACCACTCCTTCATACAAAGAACCTGGTTTGAAACCCATACTTGTTCTTTGTAAATCATGAAAAGGAGGTTATGGAGAAAAACAAAAGGCAACCAAGGCACACTGGTCAGACGCCTGAGAAGTTAAATATCACAACACAAACGTAGAATCACGATTTTTAGGTGTTTTAGAGACTTAAAGAGAAGTTGAAACTTTGAACGCACTTCTCTCAATACTGTTTTTTTTTTTTTTTGCATTATGCTCAGCTCGTGGAGCAGACATCTGGGCAACCACTGCACAGATTTTGATTCTGTATATTTTGAAACGCTCCAACTGTGCTTCAGGGGGCTGCGATCTTAGTTTTTCATTTTACTAATTAAAGAGTGTTTTATAGCGTTTCTTGTTTGTAGTGCAAGTGTGCGAATTGCAGTGTCACTGGAGAAAATGTTAACTACAAGCTTTAGTTTGCACTAAAAAAATTTGAGAACGTAGCCCCCTTCAACATACATTTTACTGTGCATACAGTAATTACCAACTATTTTCGTCATTTTATAAATCCTCCAGCCTCTCCACGAGGTTCCTTTAAAAAATAATTTGTCTCACATTAAGGGGGCAGACTGGTCTTAGACATTTTTTGTTTATTTCTTCAGTGATCTTGATAAAACTGCACAGGGTTATACAGTTTTTTCTGCTGATTTCAAATATGTAATTAGTTTTCCTGTAACTCACTTTGTTTCTGAGATAACTTAAGTTCACTCCCTATTGTTTAAGGCCACCATAGAAAAAAAAGTGCTTAATTAAAAGTGATATTTAGGACATGCCAACATAGACTAACGACTATAGAGTGAAAGTATGGAAGAGGTTTTTGTTTTTAGACCTTTATTGGTTATTTTGCAGCAAAATGAACTATACATTTTCAAAAGCAGTTGGAATTGTGTTACAATTTTGATTAGTAATTAATTAAACAGGCATGTGCTCTGAATTTTGCTCCCATACTTGCATTCTACACACATACAGGTTTCCACTGCAAATAGAAATATTGCTGTACCTGCCCTAGCTGCAGAGATATTGAGGCCTCAAAATTGAATAGTCACAAATTTACTTTTTTGAGAAAAATGGAAAAAACTGAAAACACACAGTTTCTTCAAAAAGCAACCATCATGGTGCGCATGTTTAGCAATCCTCACAAAGGCGCTCATAAATTTGTAGTAGAGCTTAGAGAAAGGGGCTGGCAAATTATAAAGAAGCCTCAAAGTCGGTTCCCCATTTTTTTGCAGGTTCTGCATGTTAACAGCACCAAGAATCTGGACAGTTAAAATGACATTACAAAAAAATTACTACTTCTTGGTGCGTGAAAATTTGCAGAGAGATAGAAAAATACTTGCAAAAACCAAATATGTCAATTTCAAAAAATGAATATTTTTGTCACTTTTTGGTCCCAAAGAGCAGTCTGCCCCCTTAAGCATTTGTGCTATCGCCTCCAAATTTTTCTGGATGCACGGTGAGGCCATTCTTAGTGTCTCTGCCGATTTTCATCACCATTCGACCAGAAACAAGAAAGTTCATTGTAAAAGGCACGTCCCCCTTAACTGCAGTGGGGTTTTTCACTGTATGCTCTGAACAGAAAACCACAAATTTCTGTACAGGTAATACTGTCAAATTATCAGCAGATAACAAAATAACATTAACATTTGTATAACAAGAAACTTTAGACTAGATCACCTAATCATGTAACAGCAGCACATAAACAGGGAATAAATACAGTCGAACCTCTTGAGATGAGCACCAGAGAGCAATCCTTGTCTTTTATAAGCAGTTTTATAATCCAATGCTTGCATTATTAATGCTAGATTAAATAATGCCAGATTAAATAATGCTAAAATACTAATACCACAGAATTTGCTAAACTACTGCAGCTAACCACTATGAGCAATCTGACTGCACTTACCCCGCCTATCCGCTCATTGATCAATTGCTGAGCATGCTCAATCTGCTGAGGATTGCCCCGAATGATGAAAACTTTCTCTACAGGGTTTGGCGGGGGTGCCCTGGACAGTTCCACATGGGCGCCAGACTGCTGGTTGATCTGACGAATGGCCTCTCCACCTGCACACCGAACAAATAAGGAACCATGTACAAAGCACTGGTCTAAAAACATTCAGTCAACATCCCAACAGCCTGCCTACATGTCAACTTAACAAATAATGTATTTACTCGCGTAATGAACACACTTTTTTTTTAATGGCAGCTAAGTCAAGGGACAAAATGCCAGAAATTTTCAAGTGTTTATAAAAACAATTCACAGTGAAATTGAGTTTTTGATGCCAATTTAAAAAATGTAACCAGTATAATGACAAAAAATTTGTATTGCAGAGCTGCCATTGGCACATGCCTGTGTACTAATGAATATAAGCTACATAACGGTAGGAGTGCTTCTTTGATTTCATAATTTTAGCAAGGTCTGTTGTACCTTGTATTTCAGCGTTGCAGGCACCCACTTTATGCTCCAATTTCGGGCAAAAATAAAATTTTTTTGAGATCTCAATAAAAAATTCACACCTATCATTGTGTAAACTAAAGATACAGCTACATGTCAACATAAACAGTCCTAGCTGCTCTAGAGGCAGAGACACCTTTTAGACAAGACAAGTTTGCAACTGCAGCAAAATTTGAATCCTGAAAAATCATGCAAAAATACAAGTCAATTTTGGATAGACAGCATGGAAAAGCTGTGTACTTAAAATGATTTTCAAATTCACCTTTCTCAGTAGGCACCAGGCATGTAGTCCTTTTTTGTTTTGCGTCACCTAAATTGTGTTTTTTCAATGCTTGCTGCGCCTATATTGTTTTTTCCATGCTTGCTGCACGTTTTCCACAGAGGCACACTCGCAACCTGATGTGCTCACCGTGGGGTCGTCTGCAGACTAGGCCGCTTATCAGTTCAATGACACCCATGTGCCACGAATATGTGCGTGTAATCCGCAATCTGTCGTAGGTTAAAGCGGTTTTCCGGCTAGTCCACATTGAGCTGTTGATGTCGCAGACTTAACTTGTGCACTCACTCATCAATTTCAAGGCTCCAAGAGCAGAGAGGTGTTAGTTTCTTTTTCACTCAAGATTGCCACATTTTCAACTGGAGGTCGCAGTGCAATATGTTCATCGTTGCAGACCCGTCGTTACAAACACTTGACCTTACAAGCACTTCTATTCCTTCGTTGTAAAGGTTGCTATCTTTGGTAGCTTCACTTCTGCAGTTTCACTTGCCGTCTTGAAACTGTTGAGGCTCCAAACACTGACGCTTTCAGCGACGTTGTGGACTTTCCGACGGGCTCGTACGTGAGGTAAGCCTACGCCAGTGACTGCGACCGCCGCGAGTTTGCTATCCTCCCTGTCCTTACGCGCGAGTTCGCTATCCTCTGTCCCGAGTGATAGCGGGGCTCTTTCTGAAGTTAATAACGAACGAACGATCACCACACCTACTTCACAAATTAGTGCGGCAAGGAACTTCCGGCGAGAAGAAGACACCGGAAACGCCACTTGGACAATCGGATGCCTAGGTTTCGTCACGTGCCCCAAGCAGCCAATAGATTCGTGCGGTGGTGCTTCTCGATGCGTTTTTTCTGAAAAACTAATCAGCAAGGCGAGCCACAGGCAGCGGGAAATTGAAGATGAACGACTTTTCGAAACGAGACCAAGATGACCTGCTTCATGTGGACCACTGTTCGGCTCACAAATTCAACGTAGAGACGAAGGCCGTTGAGCTGGCCTTCCTTCCAGCAAACATGACTGCGGTACTGCAGCCCATGAACCAGAATACAATAAATTTAAAATCATTTTATCGGCGCCATATGTTGCAACGAATTATTTTGTGCAATAACTACCAAGTCACGCTCCTAAGTGCACTACACATGCTTGTGCATGCTTGGGAGTAAGTGACAGCGCTTACGATAGCAAATTGCTTTCGCCGCTGTGGCTTCAGCACCGAAGCACTGCAAGCTGACGAGCCACCAGTGCTCGACCTCGGCGTCACCGCGCCCATGGCGGAAGTTTTGGAAGATCTTTGCTTTGCGGACTACGTCGATGTGGACTCAAGTGCAGTGGCGTGTGGTGCACTCACGGATGGCAACATAATGTGTCAGGTGAGAAGTGCAGAACCTGTCGCTGCCAGTGACGATGAGGAGGACGAAGCACCAGTGCGGCCCTCTGCCGCGGAAGCCATGGCCGGATTGAATGCCGCTTGTCTTTTAAAGAAGGCGATGAAGAGGCCTTCCGCCGAATTTTCTCGTTAGAGCAAAAATAGTGGCTGTCGCCTTCAACGAAAGAAGGCAGACCACGATCACAAATTTTAAAAAATTGAATCGTCATGCCCTACTCACAGTGTACTATAGTTCTTCGCTTTCGTTAGTTTGAACTTGCGTTATTACGAACTGAAGTGGAGCTTCCCCTTGCGGTTCAAATTAACGAGCTTTTATTGTAGTAGCTCTGCAATACAAATTACCTGTGCCTTTATACCAGAAAAACAATAGGTGATTAATTTTAGGATCTCAAAAACTAATTGGTTTAGAGGAACAGTACTTACATTTTTGAAATCAGAATCAAAAACTCAATCACAGTGAATTTTCTTTATAAACACATGAAAATATCGGGCATTTCGTCTCAAGTACAGTGTCCCCCCTTAAGGTGACACCCTACACAAACAGTTCGAACAGAGCAGCGAATCAAAACAGCCAATATTGTACAAAGCATCAACCAAGATAACTCCTAAAAAAAAAGGAGCCACCCTTCTCACTGCCATGCACTTTTATGTCGCACAGCTTTCCTTACCCACGAGGCCAACAAAAACCACTGACCCGGGGTACGAGGCTGTGCAAGGTACCAGCACCACACGAACCAATGTCACTCAGGCTGAACATATGAGCTTAGATAGAGATGCCTAGACCACCAAGGCAGTTCGATCCAGTGTAATGGCTATAGCTATGACCACCACCATACCCTGCATCCAAATTTAGCACATGTATTGCTGTGGAAGATGCGAAGATGAGAAGCCAGACTGGTCACTAAGAAAGCCTCACGCCTTAGAAACACATATTACAATGGCTAGTGAGATAACGCTTCCGTAAAATAGAAAAAAAAAGCTGCGTGCACTGAAAGAAAACAAAGCTACTATACTTGAGAGGTTCAAATTAATCAAAACGTGTTGGGTGTCCTTACACCAAGATTAGTGCTAGCCATAAAGTCAATGCTCTGCTTAACTAAAGCCATGCCATATGCAGATTGCTGCCCTACTCACCCTTGCCAATGACCAAGCCACACTTGTTGGCGGGCACAGTGTACTGAACCTCGTGCACGTCATCCCCACCGGGCCCACGACCACGACCACCACGACCCATGCCAGGACCTCCTGGTGGCCCAAACCCTCCATCAAAGCCCCCTCTACCTCGACCTCTTCCACGTCCCATGTTTTGCTGGTCTCTAGCCTGCAGGTGGACAAAATAATCGGGAAGGCGAGCAAAATCGTTACCACATTTAGTTACACTGACTGGTTATACTGTACTAAGGCACTATTCATGGCATGGATGCTATATCCTGTACCTGAGCAGCAACAGCAGTACAGTTTCAAAAGAAACAACAGAGTATAAAGCAATTGAGGATGAGGCAGCAAGAAGTAAAGCATGACAGCCTTCCCAACAGGAAAATGCAAAAGCAGTCATCTTGGCATAAACTACTAAATGAACACTACATGTACAAAAAATTCACGATCAAGGTGAAAAAAACACTCCTCTACAGGCATTGCTACATATAACAAATTGCTTTTAAGCAACCCCACAATCAGAAATGTGCGATCAAGCCATAACTGTGCACTTACACAATGTGAACAGCCTACGGCAAGAACTTCAGGAATGAGTACGGGATCAAGTCACAGGCTATTATGTTTTAAGACAAAGTGATTACAGTTGAACCCCTTTATAAGAGACATGCTCTGAGCAGCAGGTGTCTTTTATATGAGATGTCTCTTGTAAGCCATGTACTACGCATGCATTTTCCTATCAACCTGTAGTTTGCTGTAGGCCCACTGGTGTCTCTTATACACATTTGTCTCTTGTATCAGTGTTTCTTATAAAGGGGTTCGACAATGTCACTGAAACGAAGAGGGGACATGGGTTTTAATAATAATGTGGGTTATTTCTTCACCAAATTAGGTGAAACTGCACATCCTTGTTCAGTTTCTTCTTAATTATCTAGGTATATTTATTGTAGGCTATTTTTTAATTAATAACTACATTGTACTTCATGAATAAACAATGAAAACTTATGTAGATAAAATTACATAGTCATGAACACATACAGTCGAGCCCGCTTAGAACGAACCTGAGCGTGACGCTACATCCGTTCGCTGCATCCCGAAGTTCGTAGTAAAAGAAACAGCTTTTAAAAAAAGTTGTGAGTGAAAACAAACTTTTTTTGCTCCAAAAAGTCCGTAATGCACATGTTTTGAAGAGCAGAAGCAGTAAGGGCGGTCTCAAGTTCATTTAAAAGGGTAGGGTGCTCATTCGCCAAGGCCCGTGGCATAAGCTGCACGAGGTACTGGCTCCTAAGTTTCGTCATTTTCGCAATCCGATTCTTCCAAATCGTTCTCGCCTAGTACTTCATTCACAATGCCCCAATCCGTGCACGGTTCCGCAGCGTCGGCATCATTATCCGCCGTAATTAAATTGCCACAATAGATGTCCCACCCGCTCTCCTAAGTCGGAGTCTACGCGCTGCCGCAAATCAATCACCGCCGCAGTTTGGAAGCTTCAGGTTCGGCATCGGGCCCGACATCGAAGAAGTCAGCCTCGCGAAAACAGTTTCGCGCGCATGTAGCCGTCACCACCGCTCACAAAATATTCACCATCTCCACAGCTGAATACCGAAACGCCCAAAGCGGCAAGTTGGCTGCCAGGTGATCAACAGCTATCAGCAAGCACTCCGCAACGCGGCTCAACGCGCGGATTACGCTCAAGCCAAGCAGTCACACCTTCGACGTTTTGTTGAGCGGCAAGAAAAGGCGTGCTAGTCCTCCCGTCTGCCATCATGACCACACACGCACACGCGACACACATGCCATAAAGCATGGAACAGCTCTGGGCCCGTTTCCAGTCAGAAAACGAAACCAATTCGAGCCAGCGTGGCGGGCGTCGCAGAGCGGTGGAGACCGGCGAAGAGGTTGTGATCAAAAGAGGAGCACAGACTTGCGAGAAAAGGGCAAGGAGTTGCAATAAAGAGAGGGGAGGATGCGGCGGGAGGGCGACCTTGGAAACCAAAACACACGGGAAGGAGGCAGGTTGGGTAGCTTGCTTGAACGTTCCGCGTAACTCTCACGTAGAAAAAAACTTGGAAAGAGTGCCTGCGCACGCAGAAGTCAAAGCATGGCCGCCTGGATCAGTGCCACGGCGGTGTTCGAAGAATCGGCGGCCATGGTCAAAAAATCGTTTTGTTGCACCGGCGGGTTTGCGTGGCCTCACGAACTTCGATATTTGGCGATTCGTTTCCGCGCAAATTAACAGCCGTTTTCGCACTTCCGCACGTGTGCAGAAGGCATGCCGAGTCGAGTGCGAAGCGAGCGTGAACAAGGTTTAAACACGAAACGAATCGCAAAAAATAAACGCGTGCACTAGACGGTGACTATCGGATACAGTCAGTGGACGACGATGCTGGCAAATGGTCTGGTCACTCCAGGCCGGCAACTCCAACAACAGTACCAGCGATCAAAAACAGGCTAGATGGCCGACCGGTCTTCAAAAGATCGTGAAAACACGGGCTTCGTCTGGTGATGCGGGGTGCTCAGAGTAGCGGGGGGACAAAGGACGGGGGGGGTGCCTAACAAAAAGCAGTCGGGTCATGGACTTTCCTTCCTCCATGGGTTGGGGAGAGCGGCAACTAGAGGGTCGCGGAGACAGGGTCGGCGTTTAACAAAAAGAATGTAAGGGCACTTCGCCAATGCCTGGTCGGTGGTCGAAATTGGTTTCCCGGGAAGTCGGCAGACCGCTGACTCCGTTCGCTATAACCGATCAGCGGCGCTCAGAGACGTTCGTTGTAAACGTTCTTATGTGCCATTGAACCAATGTATACTTTGATAGTCACGCGGACATTGTTCGTTTTAAGCAAAAGTTCGTTTTAAGGGCGCCGTTATATGTGGGCTCGACTGTACATGGATACTAGAAAACCGAAGAACTGCAGCACTGCAAGCCGATGGAAAACTGAAGTGCTTATCGAATTGCAGCACAATAAAGTTCACTGTCGGCATGTAATCAAAAGCAAAGACATTTTTAATGAATATTTAAAAAATTGGAGCTTCATTTTCTACATTGTGCAAAAACAATTACAGCTCGAGCTGTCCTAGGTCCATTTTTCTGTGTTCTGAGAAAATGAGAAAAGCGGTCCAAACTTTCATTTCATCATTAGAGTAAAAATATCATGGCACACATGCTTTTAGTCAGTTAATATGCACCGGGCATTAAATCAGATTGATTGTTAGCCTGAGCACGTCGTTTCTATCAAGTTCTGCTACAAGTCGTTGCCGTGTATTCGTCTGGCAACAAGGCCACATATCAGTTCAGTGACGGTACAAACGCTGATGTGCACGCATCATTCGCAATTTGTCATATGACAAACCAACATTTCCAGCTTGTACAGATTGAGAAATTGATGAGCGAGTACTTGCGCACTCGCTCATCAATTTGGAGGCTGCAAGAGCAGCGAGGCATTAGTTTCCTTTTCCCGTAAAATTCGTGCATTTTCGAGTGGAGACCGCAGTGCAATATGTTGATCATTGTGAACAAGTCGTTAAGTTCATTCTACCTGTTGCCAGTAGCCTCCAATGCTCGGGCGGCGAGCACGTTCACCATGAACAGATTGATTTTTCTGTTTGTTTACGCGCGGCAAACTCCGCTCTGATGACTCGTCACGCAGTTCACGCACAAACAAGGTTGTTTCAATGGGGGGGGGGGGGGGGGTAGCGATACAACTGCACTTCCGTTCCACCGCTGCAAAAATGGCTATCTCCCGCAGCTTCACTTCCATTTTTTTTATGTGCCGTCCCATAACTGTTTGGCTCAAAAACACGGCTGCTGTGAGCGATGTCGGCAACAGAAGGGCTCGTATGTGAGTTAAGCCTACACCGGCAACCGCCGCGAGTGTTATCCTCGTTGACCTGAGTCATACTGGGGCTCTTTCTGAAGTTGATGGCGAACAAGCCATCACCACACCCCCTTCGAAAATTCATGTGGCACGGAACTCCTTCACTGCAGCATGCAGTCAAATGCACCATGACAATATGGCGCATGCCTGTGCATGTGGCGATGGTGAAGCAGACACCGGAAATGCCACTTGGCCAATCAGATGCCCAAGTTTTGTCACCTGCCCCAAGCAGCCAATAAAATCACGCTCTGGTACGTCTTCATGACTCGTCTTTGCTGAAAAACCAATGAGCCAGGCGAGGTAGAAAATTGAAGATGACGAACCACCCTTCCAAAACGAGACTGAGATAGCCATGCTAGCACGTGCGTAACAGTAATGGTTTGGCACGGAAAAAGCGAGATTTTAACGTCCATTTGCACTCAGATTGATCTCACAGGGGTGTTATATATATATTGATTTTGCACCAGAAATAATGATGCGAGAAGCTAGAAACTTCTCAAATAAGTGCAAATATAGTTGCAGATTCCGAAAATGTCAGCTTCAAAAAGTATTTTTTCGCAATACTGCATTTACTTGCATAATTCTCACACTTTTTTTGCCAGAATACTGATGCGAGGTTGGGGAGTGCGAAAATTACGCAGAGAAAACTTACCACGAAAAAGAAAACTAAATGGCCGCAAATCGGGATTCTCACGCCAGCAACTTGCAGCAAGTCTTAAGAAGTACCAATTAGAGCTTACCTCAACAATAAAAGCAGAGGTTCAACACAAGGCAAGATTTATTTGAGACACAAAAAGTGGAAGCAAATAGTCGAGAATTAGAATACCATACGCGAAGCTTGTGGGCGTTGCGGGCGTGGCAGTAGCAATCGGCACTCAACAGGAGCCCTCAAAAGGTAAGCGTAGGACGTCAGTATTGGGCCTATGGCTATTTAACAGAATCGTCCGCAGTTTCCTTCTGAAGAAATGAAGTTCACCATCAATCCCAGTTTTAGGCACACAGCAGGCGCAACGCGTCTTGGTGGCTTTCAGCTGCTGTCACCAGTAGCGAACACAAAACTGACTCCGAAGGGCCTACAAAACTGACTCCGAAGGGCCTACAAAACTGACTCCGAAGGGCCTACCGGCGGCCCTCGCACTTGAAGCAGCCATGTGGCTTCAGTATCGCCCCATAATGTGCCAAGATTACCGACACAACATACAAAACACGCCGCAACGCACACTGGCTGGAATGAGCAGACGACAATATTGCGGGAGTTTTCGGGGGTGCCATAATTACTCGAGGAAAAAGTTTTATT